CACAGCTTTCTTCCCTTGGCTGTGAACAAAAAAATAAAGGCCCAACAACAGGAGACACCCAGGTGCTACTACTATTCTCTGAAACTATGGTCCAACAAATCAATTGTGAAAACCTGTATCCTTAGTTAGATAACCAGTGTACATCAATCACCATGATAGTTGCTGAGAGCATGGTACAGCTTTTAAACTTGCTCGTGGTCCTTACTGACTCCACATCCTAAGAGGCTCTGTTGCTTTTCATGCTATGTTCCTTCACCTTCTCCTCAGGTAATCTTTGATTTTTTACCTTCACAACATATCCCTACCCCCTTTGTTTCTATCCGCAGGATTTTCCCTCCCTGTTACGCATTTATGCCTAGAGAAGAGTCATACACTATTTCCTAGCAAATACTTGTTCACACTCATAACCCTGTCTATGCATTCAAACCAGATAATTGTTTTATTTTTCAAATTGACTTCCAGAGCCCTGTCCCTTCATTTTATATGGCATATGATATCTAGAGTAATCATGTCATGACTCTGTAATGTAGCATAATGAATTCTCTACATTTATGATGGATAAGAATCAGGATCAGCACAAAGGTGGTTCCTACAAGGTGGAAGTCAGACATCTCCAATCTCCAACTTCCTCACTATTTCTGACAACAGCCATTCCCCCACAATATTCCACTTCTCTGCTGGGTTCAATAGATTATTGTAATGGCCACACAGAATTCACAGACCACACTCAGAGTTATGTTGTTTATTAAGAAAGTAATAGGCTACAGCTTGGGATCGGGATCAACTTGGAAGTGACAGGAACAATTCAAGATTAGGATTAAGAAGCACACAGGCAAGGTCAGGAAAGGTCCCCGGAGTACAGCACATTCTTCCCTTCTTCACTGCAGGACAGCTACTGAGAAAGATCAGCTGCTCTCCACCAAATGGCCTCTCCGCTTCTAACTAGCCAGGATCAAATCCAATGTAGCAGCTCAATCCGCGCTCTCAGGTGGTGCTCTCCTAGTAACAGCTCTCTGCTATGAGGCTATCTGTTGTCAGCCTCTCTGCCGTTACCTGGCCCAGCTCACAGCCAGTACAGCAGCTTGCTCTGTTCTTTCAGCTGCTCTATGCTTCCAGGCCTCCCCGTTGCTAACTGGCCCAGCTCATAACCAGGATATTAGCTCCCTCAGCTCTTTCGGTTGTTTGTTGCCATCAGGCCTCTCCACCATTGGCTCTCCACAACTAACTGGCCCAGCTCACAGCCAGTGGAGCACCTTGCTCAGCTCTCTTAGCTGTTCTGTCCTATCAGTCTTCTCTGCCATTGGGCCACTCTGCCACTAACTGGCATAGCCCACAGCCAGTGTAGCACCTTTGGGACCAATAGGCTTCCACATGATTCTGCTCCTTGACAAGCACAGATCTTACCCAACATCTCTTCAACCAAGCCTCTCTAAAACCTCTGCATTTCAGTTGTTTATATATCCTGATCCTCATAAATTACAAGGCGGGACATCTCTCACCAGACCAGAATTCAATCAATCCACAATTACCCATGAGATGTTAATCAACTCAGGCCTTTCTGCCAGCAAAGACTTTGGCAAAAGTAACAACCCTATGTGGTAGAAAGCAACCTGGGAGGTCACCCAAGTTGTTTCTCCAAAGAATTAGGGCAAAGGTAACAATTTCTCAGGGCCTAGGGGGAAGTCTTCAAAGAATCAGGAGCAAAGAACCAAGGTAAAACAGCACATAAAGGAAACCACTGCACCACAGAGTACTTTAGTGTAAAGAAGTAGTATTAATTACTACTTCTCCAATTTCTAAGGAGCTCTGGTGACGTAGTGCCTAAGGCATTTAACTGCTAACCAGAAGGCTGGTGGTTCAAACCCACCAGCCACTCCTAGGAAGGAAGGCTGGGCAATCTACTTTGTAGATACCACCTTGGAAACCCCAGGAGGGGTTGCTATGAGTCAGATTCAACTTGATGGCAGTGAGGTTTTGTTTCTTCCCCTCCAGTTTCTATCTTACGTAATTTATTGCTTTGGTAAGACTAATGCTCACTGAAAAGTTCAAATACGTAATTTATTGAAATATGAAATGGAAAAACCCCAGAAAATGCTCCTTGCAAAAGAAAAATCAATTAAGTAAAGTATTCCTTCACACATTATCTTCTGCATATGTACACACACAAAGAGAGAGATGGAGAGAGGAAAAAGGAAAGTGAGGGGAGAACAGAAGGGAGAGGGAGAGAGATGGAGAGGCTGATTTATGACAATATAATGAAGGCTATGGTTTCCCAATTCCATACTATGTTGTTATTACATGTTTATACCATAATTTTATTGGTTTCATATTACTACCAGAAAATATCAAAACTCAAATTCCTATTAACAAACACTTTTAATTCCATTAAAAATTCAGGGATAACACTGATGGGAATTCAGGGACACTACTGATGGGTTATTCCTGATTTCAGTGATTTAATCTCCTAATCATAAATTTCAATCCTAAAATTTGCACAGAAATGCAAATGATACATTCTGATGTATACTCTTACATACTTATGTGCTTTCACTGCCACCAACAGAGAAAGCATGGAAATGTCAGTTCCACCCCAACAATAAATTCAATGAAATGTTCAACTCTGGCACAGCCTCTACTGGAAAGGTTTCCATAAAAGAAATGATACAGCAATTAGAACCCAATCATATCAAAGCCTTCATGGAACATAGAGACTCAGCAATTAATGGCCAATCAAAGATTAAGAATATTTTTGCCGTTACTTAACGTCTACTTATACTTTCAAATTGTTTAAAGTACAGCCCTATGTTAACACAGCTGAAAAAAATATTCAGATGTTTAATAGCAGTGTCCTGCTACTGAAAGATTTAACAAAACTTTTTCAATCCATTATGGGAACAATCACATAATATAATAGCCCTTAGGAGCAATTCTACCCTGTACATATGGGGTTGCCATGAGTCGGAATCAACTTGATAGCAAGTAACAGCAGCAGCCCTGTAGTCTGTAGTGATTAATCAAAGTCTTCTTGTATAGTAGGCTTCATACTGTATACAGCTGAAAGAACACTAGACACAGTCCCAAATAATAATACCCTAACGATAACAGAAGACAGGAGGAAAGGAGCCATACATATTAGGTGAATATCAAAATAATATTGTGGATGGCAGTACCAAGTGGTTTTCTGTATTTCTATGTTTACTTCCCTGAATTAACTTTGTTTTTTCCTGTTTCTTTTTCTTGATACAATTTTCAAATATTGCACATTCCCTCCTTTTGATTTTAACAAACAAGTACTGAGCACACCTACAAAGTGCTAGTCTATATTAAGGTTGTGTAGATTCAGCAGCAAAGGCCTTGCCCTCGTGGACCTTACATTCTAGTGGACAACGATACTCATGTCCATCATTACACTTTTGTAAAGACATCAGCGAACTCTTATTCTAAGTGCTATCTCCTGAGTGATACGGGTAATTCCTGACATATGACTGGGTTCTTTTCTAAAGACTCTGTCATAAGTCAGTTCTGACATTAAATCTAATCTTTTTTTTTTCTTTTTAGTTTTCATTATTATTGCCTTTTTTATCAGTATCTTTATAAATCCAATCTTTGAACATGTGATCTGAAAATGGTAACGTCAGCAAATTATACACAGCTACACTGTATGAAGAACATATTACTAATGATAAGACATACCAAAATAAAAAATACCAGATGGCTGTAAGTGGGGTTCACTATTAACTCAAACACATCACAAGTTGGGGACTACCTGTATGTGATAACTACCAAGGTTCTGAGAGAAGCCCTTACTGCACGACTTACAATGGTTCTCCTGTCTCTGATCTCTTGACTACTGGGATGTGTTGAGCTATGTTTAGCAAATGTTTTCCCACCTATGAAACCTAATGATTACTAGAACTCAGGTGGTACATGAGATTTATAAATCATTTCATAGAGTTTCTTTACTCTGAATATTCTCTGAAGTTCTTGCCACTCTCACAAATAAAAATTATCACCACCATTGAGTCTTTCTGGTCATAGGACGGTACAATTTTTTAATACTCAACTTAAAACCTCAAGGTCGGCCGCTTGAACCCATCCAGTAGTGCCATAGAAGAAAAGCTTGGTAATGTGCTTCTGTAATGAGTGCTGTGTGTTGTCAAGTCAGTGTTGACTCACAGTGGCCCCATATGACAGCATAGAACTTCCCTATAGGGTTTTCTGGGAGCTCTGGTAGCATAGTGCCTAAGGCACTTGACTGCTAACCAGGAGGCTGGCGGTTCAAACCCACCACCCACTCCTCGGAAGGAAGGTTGGGCAATCCTACTTCCGTAGTGGTAACTGCCTCGGAAACCCAAGGAGGGGTAGCTATGAGTCGGGGCCGACTCGACGGCAAATAACAACAACAACAACATAGGGTTTTCTGGGCTGTAACCTTTATTATCAGATCTTTGCTCCCATTAAATAGCTGGTGAGTTGTAACTGTCAGTCTTTTGGTTAGCAGCCAAGCACTTAACCATTATACCACTACAACTCCTTAGAGCCAAGAAATCCTAGAGCGCAATTCTACTGTCATACATTGGGTCACCGAGAGTCAGAATCAACTCAACAAGAGTGGCTTTCATTTTGGATATAATCTTTGAAGACTCAGAAGATATAATCTCAATCAGAAATGGCAACCACATGCCTCACATCTGTAAGGTTTCTCTCCAGTATGAATTCTCTAAAATTGTGAAGAACAATGGAAGGCTTTACCAAACATATCACATGTGTATGATTTCTCTCCAGCATGGACAGTATGATAAAATGACAACTGAAGTTATGATTATTTATCACATTCCTCATACTTATATGGTTCCTCTCCCATGTGGACCCCTAATGAATACCAAGATTCAAGTTTCAAGTGAAGCCCTACCCACCCTCTTCATATCTGTACAACTTTTCTCCATTGTGACCCTTCTGATGGGACTGAAGGTGGGAATTCTGACCAAATCTCTTTCCACTCTTCACATTTGAGTGGCTTTTCTCCACTGTGGACTCTCTGATGTTTCCGAAGATATGAACCCCGACTAAAGTGCTTCCCACACTCTGTACAATTGTAGGGTTTCTCTCCTGTATGGACACTCTTATGGACAAAAAGTTTTGAGGGAAAGTTGAAGCCCTTCCCACACTCCTCACATTTGTACGGTTGTTCTCCTGTGTGGATTTTGCAATGATTATAAAGTGTTGATTTTAAATGGAAGTTTTTACCACACGTATCACATTTGAATGGTTTCTCCCCAGTGTGGATTCTCTGATGCTCCCGGAAACGTGATGCCTGAATGAAGGCCCTGCCACATTCCTCACAATTATAAGGTTTCTCTCCCTTGTGGACTTTGCAGTGAACATTAAGTTCTGATCGACGAATGAAGCACTTCCCACACTCCTCACAATTATAAGGTTTCTCTCCTGTGTGCACTCTGCAATGAACTTTAAGGGCTGATCTACGGCTGAAGTCCTTCCCACATTCCTCACAATTATAGGGTTTCTCTCCCGTGTGGATTCTACAATGAATATTATAATCTCCCCTACGACTAAATCGCTTCCCACATACTTCACATTTATAGGGTTTATCTCCAGTGTGGACTACCAGATGAAATTCGTAATTGTATTTCATCATAAAACTCTTCCCACACAGAACACATTTGTATGGTCTCTCTGTTGTGTGGACTCCCAGATGGGATCGAAGGTGTGATCTCTGAATAAAGTTTTTCCCACACACTTCACATATGAATGGTTTTTCTCCACTATGGATTCTCTGATGGGTCCGAAGACCAGCAGACTGACGGAAGTCTTTCCCACACTCAGCACACTTGTATGGCTTCTCTCCAGTGTGGAGCATGTAATGGATGTTAAGTGTTGACCTACGACGAAAGTTCTCACCACATTTGTCACATTTGAAAGGTTTCTCCCCAGTGTGGATTCTCTGATGTTCCCGGAGATGTGAAGCATAGATGAAAGACCTCCCACATTCCTCACAATTATATGGTTTCTGTCCTGTGTCGACTTTGCAGTGAACATTAAATGCAAATCTAGAATGGAAGCCTTTGTCATATGCCTCATATTTGTGTGGTTTATCTACAGCATGGACTTTTTGATGAGTTTGCAGATGTGAGTTCAGACTGAATTCCTTGTCACAGTCATCACACTTACAGCATTTCTGCCCCATGTGAATTTTCTGATGAATATGAAGAACTGAGCTATAACGGAAGCTTTTTCCACATTCTCTGCACGTGTGAGTCTTCTCTCCTGAGTGAAATCGCTGATGAAGATCAAAGCTGGAGATATCACTGAAGGTTTTTGTACACTCGTTACACTGATAAGGCTTCTCTTCTGTGTGAATAATAGACAGACCTGCCCCAACGTGGCAGGCTACATCATCGTGTTTATGGAACTGAGAATTAATTGTCATGGGGCCTTGACACCTGGTTAAGTCACTTGTAACTGGTTGCCAGATTTGCCAGTAGGAAAGCTCCTCATGTGGTCCTGCTTCTGGAGCAGTCTCCATCTCACTTTGGACTTGGTCTCCTGTGATGACAGAAAATTCAGAGATGTGGACAAGTGAAAGCTTTGTTCAGAGGTTTCAATATTTCACATTTAGGACAGAGCATGAGACTTTAACAAACCAAAGGATGATTCAGTTTCACTTTTTCACTGGGTAAAATATTCTCTGGTTTACAAGGCTACAGAAATGAAAAGGTGGTCCAGTATGCTCTTATTCACTAAGCATTAACGAGACCTGTTAGACCACACCAAATCATCTATATATTGTAGGCATTAGAAATCTAAGATATAATGGGGGGGAAAAAAACACCAACCAGGTAATATGATGAAAACTGCTAACCTGTTGCTATTTTTATTGAATTTCAAAGTCAGCATATAATCTTCATAGGAAATTATCAAACTAATAAATTATGAAGATTTAGCTGGGACAACTAGATTACCTCATGCAAAAGAATGAAGCTGGACCCATCCCACACACCATACAGATAATGAACTCAAAATGGACCTAGATCTTAAATTTAAGAACAAAAAACTGTAAAATCCTTAGAACAAAACACAGAGGTAATACTTGGACAATAGTTTCTAAGATATGATATCAAAAGCATGAACAACAAAAGATAATATAGATTTAGACTTCATTGAAATTTAAAACTTGTGCATCAAAAGATTTTATCAACAAAGTCCAGAGGCAATCTGCAGAATGGAAAAAAAATATTTGGGAAACAAATATATGATAAAGGTTTACTATTCAGAAGATATACAGAACTTCTACAATTCAACAAGATAAAAGCAAAAAACTCAGTTTTTTGAAAAGCTGGGCAAAGGACTTCAACAGACATTTCACCAAAAATATATACAAATGACCCATAAGTACAGGGAAAGATACTCAACATCATTAGTTAGTAGGAAATGCAAATCCAAACCACAATGAAATACCACTTCACCCCCACTAAGGTGACTACTATCAGAAAAATGGAAGATAACAAGCGTTGGTGAGATTGAGAAGAAATAGAACCCTTATCTATCACTGGAAGAATTATAAACAATGTGAAAAACACTTTGGTGGTGACTCAAAAATATAAACACAATTACCATATATGACCCAGCAAATCCATTCCTAGGTATAAACCAAACCAAACTCACTGCCATTGAGTCGATTCCAACTCATAGCAACCTCTTTTGGGTTATTGAGGCCGTAAATCTTTATGGAAGTAGATTGCCCAGTCTTCCTTCCACGAAGCGGCTGGTGGGTTTGAACCGTCAACCTTCTGGCTAGCAGTCAAATGCTTTAGGCACTATGCCACCAGGGCTCCTTCTGCTAGATACAGGTACACCCAAAAAACTTTTAAGTGAGGACTCAGATACTTGTGCACCAATCTTCACTGAGGCACTAGTTACAATAGCCAAAAGGTAGAAATAACTCAAGTGTCCATCAACGGATCAACATTTAAACAAAAATGTGGTACATTCATACAATGGAATATTATCCCACCAAAAACAGAAGTGAAGTTCTGATATACCTATGATACGGATGACTCTTGGAAACATTATGCTGAGTGAAATAAGTTAGACACAAGACACCAAATACTGTACAATTCCATTTATATGAAATATCTAGAACAGTGGGTGAGTGAGAGAACAAAAATGAGAGTTATTGGTAAAGGGGCACCGAGTTTCTGTTACTCAAACTCACTGCCGTTGAGTCGGACCTGACTCATAGTGACCCCTCTTCCTTCCGAGGAGTGGCTGGTGGGTTTGAACCACCAGTCTTCTGGTTAGCAGTCAAATGGCTTAGGTACTAGGCCACCAGAGCTCCTTGAGTTTCTGTTAAGAGTGATAAAAATAATTGGGAAATTTGGATGAAAAATTGGGTTGCACATGGTAAAGGTAATTAATGTCACTGAAGTGTATACATAAAAAATGGTATAATGGGAAATGTTTCATTTTATATATATTACTACAATAAAAAGAAATTAATTGGCAAAAAAAATTAGGAAGATGTATCATGTAGTTAATTTTATCATGTAGATAAAATATGAATCAACAGGAACCATAAGGAAAAGCAATAACATAAGCAATACTTTGCATATTTAGGTACATGTATCATATAAAAAATATCAAATATTTCAAAGGGTCATGGATAGAATTGTGTCCCCTACAAAGGTCTGTTAAAGACAGACCTACCCCTGGTACCTGTGAACATGACCTGGTTTGGAAACAGTCTCTGAAAATGGACTAGGTAAATTCTAATCCAATAGAATGATGTCTTGAGAAAAGATAGAGACACACACAAATGGAAGAACAGTATGTGACAGGGTAGCTACAAGCCAGAAGCTACCAGAAGGTGAAAAAGACAAGAAAGTATCCTCCCACAGACTCTTTGAAGAGAACATGGCTCACTAACGTGTTGATTTGGATTTCTCACCTCGAGAACTATGAGATAATAAATTTCTATTCTTATAAGCCAACCTAGTTTGTGGTATTATAGTATGGCAACCACAAAAAACGAATTTATTCTCTTAGCTACCTAGTACTATTGTACCACAAATCCCCAAGTGGGTGGTATAAAGAAGAGAAATTAATTTTTTCACAGTTTTGGAGGCCATCAGTCCAAATACAGGTCTTAGCTTTGTCGGTTCCTTCCTTGTCAGTAGCCCTGGGCATTATTTGGTACCTTGAGGTTCCCTGGCTTATAGATGATTCTCACAAGACATCTGTCTTCCCCTGTGTAACAATTCTACCAAAATAGCTATTTATAGTCTGGAGGCAGAATACACCCATTTCGACTATTGGTTGGCTATAATATGTTAGATTACATTACAGAAGGTACTATGATCTAACAAGACCAATGGTTTAATCACATGAATCCATGACACCAACTCGACTAGTATGTGGCAAAAAAGCTGGCAATCATAGCCTACCCAAGCTGACACATAAAACTAACCATCACATATACACATAATCAAATGTACACATCAACAGTAAAATTTACTGGAAATGTGGGTCCCACTGATATTCATCAACTAATCAAAAGTAGCATCTTTCACATTTTTTCTAACATGACCCACCTGAAGAAATATCAATTATTTAAAGCCCAGACATATTTGACTAAATATGTATTATTAAAACAGAGACAGACCAACTTCTAATGAATGTCTACATTCATTAAATTTCCCCACTGGCTCTCGCTCCCCTCATGCAACTGGCTAGAGTTTGTGCTACAATGTACTCCTTCCCTCCAAAGGAGCTCTGATATTTTCTACAATTAAATTGGTAGGAGAATCAGCTCCCCGAATTCAGGTGACCATTCTAGGAAGCCCAAAGCCTTGAACACTTGAAGAAAGAAACTCCAGAGGGAGGCTGTCCTCACCCACAGAAACCAGGTTCCTGAAGTTCTCCAGCATCACGTCTCGGTACAGCTCCCTCTGGGCAGAGTCCAGCAACCCCAGCTCCTCCTCAGTGAAGACCACAGCCACATCCTTGAATGTCACTGATTCCTACAATATCAAATACAAATATACTCAGTCTCAGAACTAGTGTCCACTTGAAAAGGGGCAGCACTCACAAGCGTGGAAGATGGGGGCTGGGAGGAGTCATTTTAGATTTTGTGGAACAACTCAATGTGTAGATTTCCCAGCCCTTCTTGTATCCTGCCAATGCCATACCCTGATTTTCCTTAGCTTCACTGAAAATGAGGCAATGAATGACAGCCCTTGTATTTTTACTTGGTGTCCTCAGAGTAAACCCCCAGAACTCTAAATGTTGCATGCTGGGACACATATGTTTTACTTTTCAGTTCATATTAACAATTACCCCAGAAAAGTTTACTATTTTGAGAGATTTTGATAGCACCCACCTTCTACCTCTCATATACACTAATCATGACAGTTTTACTCTCTGCCTAACTAGCAAGAGCAAGACTTTGGTAACCTGTCTTGGACAGGTATATAGTTAGACCTCTGTAGTGTCAAGTCACACAACACATCTATTATTTGCAACACTCAATTTATTGCCTTGGAGCCACCATGCTCAAGCAAACACCCCAACTTCTAGGACAGAACAGGGGACTGGCCTTGATCTAATCAATCGTGCAATGTAATGAAATCCCATTAAAAACTCTGGACACAAAAGCCCAGGTGAACTTCCCTAGTGGACAACATTCTGCATATTGTTACACGTCAACGTGCCAGGTGGGTGATGAGTCCTTGAAAACAATGAAAGCTTTGTCTTTGGGACCCTCCTCAGCCTCTCCATATGTATCACTCCCTTTGGCTGGTTATGTTTTATAATCCTGTTTTATTGAGTTCTGTGAGATGTTTTAGCGAATTACTCAACATGAGGGGATAGTGAAAAACCCCAAAATTTGTAGCCAACTGGTCAAAAGTGAGGGTGGCGGTTTGAACCCACCCAGTGGTACCCTGGAAGAAAAGCCTAGCGATCTGCCTCTGAAAGGTCATGGCCCTGAGAACCCCACAGAGTGCAGTTCTGCTGAAATACATAGGGTCACCTTGGGTCAGAATCAACCCGAGGGTAACTGGTAGCTACAAAACAGTTGGTGTACCCTGTGTCAAACGTACTTGTTCCATTTGAGCTTCTAGTACACTGAGGACAAAAAAACTGATAGATGCTTTTCAGAAATGGCTTTAGAGGTAAAGGGTTTTATACAGCAAATGATTACCATAGTGTTACAACAATAGAACTCCTAAATCATCCCAATGTCTATGAGTAGGAAGTAATTAAAAACCAAATGGTATGTCAATGGGAATGTGATGTGATCATGAAAACAAACATTATATAGTATTAAATGATAAAGCACAATTTAAAATTAGATGTATAGTATGAATACAAATATAGTTATAAATGCACATGTGAAAATGAGAAAATAAAAACAACTAATTTATAAAACAGGAAGTAGTAAAGGGGGAGAACTGCTCATTCTTGTTCATTATTTTCATCTGATTTTTTTAAATAAAAGAACAATAAAATGAAACAAAAACTAAAAACAAATCCAAAGGAAATCAAAATCAGACCAAGTGAGCTTGGCACACAAAGGATCCTGACATGCCTGCTGTCTTCCTTGAGTCTCCCCCTGAAAGAGAGTATGTGTCTAATCGGACTAGTGAGACAGAACCTTGACAACGAGAACAGCAAACCCAACTCACCTTGAACGTGCTCATTTCTCTTCCTACTTCTGGTGCTGGGCAGAGTCCTGGAGAAGCCAGACTGTGGAAGGAGAGAAAAGAGAAGGCATAAAACGTGGTCAGGGATGCTGTTTGCCTACAGGTAAGCATCCTGTGAATCAGCCAAAAGGCCCCTTCGTCCAGGTGGCTGCAGGTGCACCAAGCCTGGTGAGCAGAGCATGGCATGGGCACCAGATGCCTTGCACCCTTCAGTTGTGATTCAGGGAACACTCTGCACAGCTGCACACAGTGGCCCCATCACCAGTGCTGCACTGTGGCCACCAAGGCAGCAATTCTGATTCTGGTCCAATAGATACTGAGACAATATACTGAATAAGACTGGGCTCTGGGGTCAATAAATATGTGGGTTTAAATCTCAGCACATCACCAGCTGTGTCCTCTTGGGCAAATTAATAGCATCTCTTTGCCTCAATTCTGTCATCTGTGAGACAGAAGTAAAAGAGTCACCTTTGATGGGACTGTTGCAGGTGGGGAAAGCTCTTAGAACACTGGCAGGGTTCATAACTGTTTGCAGCTATGGAAGTCCACTGCCATCAAGGCAATTCTAACTCACAGCGACCCCCATTGGGTTTCCAAGGCTTAAAATTTTATGGAAGCAGATTGCCTCATCTTCCCCCACAGAGCAGCTGGGAGATTTGAACCATCGACCTTCTGGTTAGCAGCCAAATGCCTTCCCCACTACGCCACCAGAGCTGCTCAGATATAGAAAAGCACATGAAGGTCTACAGTATGAAACTGCTCATATACAGGGTGTCTCTACCACAGGGACCTGGTAAGACAGGGTTCCAATGTGATTTGTCTGTCGAGTGAAGGTCACATGTAACCTCTGAAAAATCTGTTGAATTGGCTTGACTGTGTTTTCTAATAAATTAATGCCTTAGGAATAATATTTAAATTAGCATAAAATAACTATTTTCTAAAGTGTGTAAAAACAAGTGAATTTCTGTCATAAAGCAGAAAAGACCTTTTGACCCATATGCATGGAGAAAAGAAAAATATTAGTAATTAGTTATTGTTAAAAAACACAGTATTTGGGAGAAAAAATAGTTCGCTGCAGCCACTTTGCAAAAAAAGTTTGGTATTTTCACAAAAGTTAAACATGAAACTACCACTCAACTTAGCAATTCCATGCGTAGGTATCCACCCATGAGAACTATAAATAATGTGCACACAGATTTGCATATGAATGTTCATGGCAGCTTTATTAACAATTCCAAACTAAACAACAGCAATGTCCACCTACTGGTGAATGGATAGACAAAGTGTGGTATATAAGCTATACAGTAGGACAGTTTTCAGTTAAAAAAAAAAAAAAGGAATAAAAGACATGCATGCTATATTCTGGATGAACCATGAAAACATGCTAAGTGAAAGAAGCCAGTCAGAAAAGACCACATAGTGTTTGATTCCATTTGTTAAGAGACATCCAGACCAAAACCAAACTCACTGCCATGAGTCGATTCTGACTTATAGTGATCTCACGGGGTTTCCAAGGCTATAAATCTTTATAGAAGCAGAATGCTCATTTTTCTTCCATGGAGTAGCTGGTGGATTCGAACCACCTATCTTTTGTTTAGCAGATAAATGCCTTACCTACCATACCACCAGAGCTCCTGTACGATATGTCCAGAATAGGCAAATTTAAGAAGCACTGGTGGTGCAACAGTTAAGTGCTCAGCTGCTAACTGAAATGCTGTCAGTTCAAACCTGCCCAGCAGTCCTGTGAGCAAGACCTGACTCTCTCTGCTCCTGGAAAGATCTCAGCCAAAGAAAAGCTCTGAAATAGTTCTACTCTGTCACAGGGGGTTGCCATGAGTTAAAAACCAACTCAGTGGCACCTGACAACAACCTAGAAAGAAAGGATGTCAGTAGTTTCCTGAGGTTTGGGTCAGAATGCAGATCAATTGTAAATGGGAATAAAGGGCCTAATTGGGGGAGGAATATGTTCCCAAACTGATTCAAGGGGACAGCTGCACCACTCAGTAGTTACTAAAAATCACTGAATTGTACATCTGAATTGGGTGGTTTCTATGTATAGCTCAAGAAAGATTCTGCATCCAAATTGATATGGAATTTATATTTGAATGAATAAATAAGCAGAGAAGAGAAAGCTGGTCTTCACAGTTAAATCCCCCCTAATAAATGAACTTCCCCATAATTTATTAATTACTAAAAGAAATAAAAGTATACTGAAGAAATCTGACAGGTATCACTTCAGCCAAGTGAACAAAGTTGACATCATCAACAGAAACAAACCGTTAGGAAATCTCCAAAATTAGAAAGATAATATGAGAAACATGAAAAGCGTGATATCAGTTCGGTACATATTTATACGTAGACATACAAATACCCAAAAGAAGCACTACCCAGAAATGCAGCCCAAGCTCATGGCAGCCATCTTTATATCATAGGTAATTAGAAACTTTTTTCTCTGCATATTTCTGTATTTTCTGAATACTCCACAGTAACATTGCTCTGTAAGACTATGAAACATTATTTCGAATCAAATGAAATGAATGCTTTTTACCAAAACACACAGAAATGGTCAAGCCCATTATTCTGCTTTTTAAGCCCACAACCAAGCTGAATGCAGCCAGCTCTGTGTTGCTCAAGAATAGATGAGAGAGGTTATGAATTCCGGACTCAGACATCTTAGGTTTCAATACCAGCTCCGCCTCCCACTAGTTCCAAACCCAGATCCAAACCCGTTGCCGTGGAGTCCCTTCATACTCACACTGACGCTGTAGGACAGAGTACAATTGCCCTACAGGTTTGCAAGACTGTAATCTTTGCAGAAGCAGACTGCCGCATCTTTCTCCCACAGAGCAGCTGAGGAGTTTCAACCATTAATATTTCTTTTTGCAGCCAAGTGCTTTAACCACTACACCACCAGAGATCCTTTCCTATTAGTTGGGTGACTAAAAAACTGGACCAAACCAGTTGCCCTGGAGTTGAAAATGACTCATGGAAAACCCATGCACTCCAAAGGAAAACTGCATTTCACAGGGTTTTTGTGGCTGTCACCTTTCAGAAGCACATCATCAGGCACCACTTCAGTGAGGAACCATGTTCTTGACCATTTGCACCAAGCAGGTGACTCCAGGTAAATAATTTATACTCCCTATGGTTCAGTCGGGACCACTGGGCTCAGTTGATTAAAGCCCCAGGCCTCTAATCAAAGGTTTGGCTGTTTGAATCAATGAGCCACCCTGCAGAAGACAGATGTGGCAGTCTGCTTCTATACAGATTTACAGTATAGAACTATGCCCTATGGGGCAGTTGTACTATGTCCTAAAGGATTACTATGAGTCAGAATCAACTCGACAGCAGTGGGTTTGGTTTTTTTGGTTTGTGGCTCAATCTCATTTTTCAAATAGGGAGAAAAGAAGTACCACC